TTGCGTCATTGAATAAAAAATAAAGAGAATTCAGTGAAAAATATTTTCCTGTCGAAAAAATCATTTACTTAAGCTGTACGTTCCTATTTATAGTTCTATGGTAAATATATGTCTATAGAAGGACAGAAAAGATTGTATCATCAAATGATTCGAGACTCATATTATCAAATGAGGTTACGCAATAATGAAGGAGTAAAAGAAGAATATAAGGATGGAAATGATTTATGCGTCAGAATTATGAAAGACTTATATTTACCGTACAATTATAAATACGGACGTACAGCTTAAGAAAATGATTTCATCGAAAAAAATGTTTCTCTTCGCTGACTCCTCTTTCTTTTTTAATCATACATTGGTTTCCACAACCGTAACATTATGTTTAAACCTATGTAATTGTTATAAATATTCAAGTTCTTACCAAGGCTTTCTCAATCCCTTTAAAGTATGGTATGTAACCTATATACTTTAATATAACTCATCTTTTAGTTGACATATTAATGAGTCTTAACAATTTTCATCAACACTTGAATTTACAATGTTGTTATTAAACTTAGAAACCACTTGATTGACATCGTTTTTTATTATTATCGAATCTTTGAAGTATTATTTCTTTTATAGATGAAATCATGAGTCAATTGAAGCTAAACCACCATGGAAAACCTAAAAGCACTGGACGGCCATTTCGTACTATCGTGGGACTCCTCAGCAGTGCGCATTCACGATACCGCCTCGCGAGATTCGAACCCAGGATCTATCAGTTTCGCGCGCGAGCTCTTAACCTCAGGACGACATTCAACGGTGTTAATTTCTAACTTCAACCAATCCACGATTTGGAGCAACCGTTCACCTATTGTCATTAGTGAGTTGATATCTCTACAAAAAACTTGGTTGAACTCCACTGGTTACTGCTTCTCACTAGAACTCCAGGAAATATCTCTTGAAGTTAGTCACTAGTGAGGATATGATTATTATCAGAAGGGGGAGGAGTCACACAATAAGACGAAATGGCCATCCAGTGCTTCCAGGTTTTCCATGGAGGTATAGCTTCAATTGACTCATGATTTCCACTATAAAAATCACTGAAGTCTCCACAAAAGCCCCTTCTAATACTATTTCTCTGTCAACAATTATTTTCTTTTTTTACATGTCCACTTTTATTTGAATATTCGTATCCCAAATATTTGTGACCGATATTTACAACTGGAATAGTTTATTTTAAAATTAAAAATCTAAGGGTCAGCTATTACAATAACTTTTAGTTAAGTACTGTGCATTGAAACATAGAGTCATTCCCTTTAGCAATTCTAAGACAATTCCAATTAGTTTTATCAATTTTGTGAAACATTATTTTATTTACTGTTAATGTTCACATGAATAAGCAAGAAATTAAATTGAAATTATTTGAAGGTATCCAACCAGGAGGTTACGAGCAAAAAAAGAATATCAGAAACGTGAATGAAAAAGGATGCGGTTATAGAGGGTGCATATCAGTGACATTGAGTATCAAAAAGATGATCATCAAAAGGTTGCATATCAATAAAAGTGAGGGCTCAAAAGTGAAACAACATATTAAATGTGGAGAAATCTGTTCTTTTCGCTTTTTAATCCTCGGTACTACGAATAAGCAAAATGTAGTTGTCTAAACGTCCAATGAAAAGCCCATCTTTAACAAATACTGTAATTCTTTAAATCTGGCAACAAATTGTTATTTTTATTACCTAATTCAGATTTTCTCGTATGTCTATTCAGAACAGTTAGGAGATATTTTGTCTTGAGGAATGTTTCGAAAATATTTCGGAAATGTTTGAAGAATTTCGTTATAAAGAAGTTTTAAATTCGAAAAACATGTCATCCTTTAAAAATCAATACGTCATACTCGGTATGTTTTCCCGAAAATACTTCTTGTGTGCTATCCAGAGAACCTGAATGAACGTTTATTCTGTGGATTGTAAACGTCCATGATAATAAAAGCCAAATAACTAGGTTTTATTTCATGTTAATTTGATAAGCAGGTGTACCTCATGCAATTATAACTATTATCATAAGACTAACAGTTAAATACATAAGTCAGATAATCATTTATTTCAGTTAAATATCATACTCAAATTTATGTTTGATAAGCAGAAAAGTTTAAACAGATTTTCAAATTAGTCAGCTTAAAGAAAAAATGCAACAACCTTACACTAATATCTTATAAATAATTTCTCTTCTGTGGCTTTGGAAGTTCATTGTTTTGAACCTGAGCTATGTGTGCAAAGGTGTTGTGTCAAGTCGTCACCATATCATGACTCTAAGACCTTATTTTTCACACACAGTCAATCAGTCACTGATATTTTTTCTCATTACTTTAGATTTTAGTCATTTATTGTTACTACCTTCGGATTTGTTTGACTTGTTTTTCATTTTTATCATACTTCTGAAGTGGATAATTATCTTTTACACCTTTGGTCTTACTATTTTTCTTTCATACAATATTATTTTGATCTTTGTATTTGCGTACTACGCTTTATAGTTTTCGACAGACTAAGAGGTGTAATAAACTTAAGCATGAAAGGTACATAGATACAGCCCAAAAGGGAGATTCATTAATACAGTAAAATAATCCCAGCAATATATTAACTGATTGAATATGTTAAATCGAAATAGAGCATGAAAAGGGGGAAACATCAATTTAATATTAGATGTAAATGTTACTAACATCACAAAATCTTCGTAACAGAGTTCAACATTTTCATATGAATACATTCAAATTATGTACTATTCCATGTGGATAGTCTAGTGTCAATCTGTCTTCGGAACCAGGTTGGCTTCTACTGACACCTCCATACACTTCCTCTCTAATTTCTGTTGCTGGATACCTGCAAAAGTCAGTTATATATGTATAACAGCATAATATTAACCTTTTGTATTTCTGAAGCATTTAAATCTGACTCCAGTTATATCGTATAATAATATTATTGAAACATATATCTCAGTTACCCTTTTATTTAATTATCTTCTTAAATCGCGTTAGTAAATAATGGAATTAACGAAGTCAAATACAAGAATGAAGTTTCGAATAGATATATTTTGTACATTCGTTGATCCGAACAAACATTTGGAATGAAAAGTGAGAAGGAAAATAGAAATGGAGAAGGCCAGTGACCCGACTTCTTTTGATAAAACAAAATTCAATTTTTATAGTCAGACAAAAATGAGCTGTAGACATATGATGAATAGGATAAGCAATGAATACACATACGCTTATATAAAAACAGTCCAGTTTAATAAGCGAATAATTAACAATATCAAAATGTAGCTTGTAAAGAATAAATAAATTAGTCTGTCTGAAAGCTAGAATAACCCAAGTGGTCTTAACATAGTACTAGACCCCACGGTATCTTCCAATTTTTGGAACTCATTTGCTTTGAGTTTCTATCTTCTCGTATAATTTCTGCTCATATAGAACTGTGGTGAAATAATTTAATCTTTTTACAGTGATTATATAACTAATGATGACAACTATCCTGTTCATCCTATCATATATAATAACGTGCTTATAAGTCTATCAGAATGTACAACAAGTCATCTAAGCATCCTATAAATAAGTATAAATAGTATTAACAGCAACAAGACGTAACCCCATTGTATCATGCATTCCAAGTGATGGATCGATCAAGTATGAGATGAGAAATTAATTAACTATTATGGTAATTAACTATAAATTGCAATTATACTTTACCAATTTCTTTATGTATTCTTTCCTTATGAAACTTTTTTTAAGTTTGATATTTACCTTTAATTAATTAAACTGCTCTAATATTAACTGACAGATGAATCTGTATAGAAAAAAATTCTATTTATCCCAATTATGTATTCTTAGCATTCACTAACCAAACTTTCTTTTCTGATCTTCTGTGGACTAGTAACACTTAGGATACTGGGGGATCATAATCATACATATTATCGATTCGCGTTTCATCATCATCAACAATAATATTATTATTAGTAGTATTGTTATTATTATTATCATTTAGAATCCCTTTCCCATAACTGTACAAATTCTGTAGATCCTATCTCCAACAGAGGCCTGCGACTAGGTTTTGTCAAGGATGAGCCACTGTTCTGAGTCACCTCGATGTATATTTGGAAGTTTACTCGCTCTTATGAAGGATGTTATATTGGCCACACAAAGCGTACTTTTTTGTAAATGCACACTGAAGCACTGTCCAGCATGATAATCGAAAAGCGAACCCAAATCAGTTAGTAGTTTATTCGTTGAATATTCAGTCAATTCTGATCGCCTAACACCACCAGAAATCTCATTCAGAATTATTCAAAAGGTAAAACGAAATAGTTCGAAAGGAAGTCGAATTAGAATCTAATACATTGAGGAAGATTCGGTGACTCATTAGTGAAACCTAATCTTTGTATTCAGAAACAGTATATCTAGTCAATTAGCTTACTATGGTTTTAACATCCCCTAGATAGAATCGACACGTATATATTTTCATCACCTTTCTGTATTATCAAAGTGGACAATCATCTTTTATATCTTGGTTCCATATCATAGTTTAACATGCTTGTTGACATTATTTTATCTTCCTAAAACTCATCAAGTGGATGATACTTAATATCTCTTTTCGATGTGTTATTTTAGTCTTGTAACCCATTAACCATAACATAACTTTTAATTCTGATTGATTAATAATGCCTCTGTTAATGACTCAATGATTTTTCATTTATTTCACAAACCAACGTATGTAATAAATAATCATGAATATGATTATACAGCTTTAGTAAATTATATCGTCCAAACAAAAACTTTTCGCCGAAACATCATTTTATTTAATGGTTCGGCGAGACTATAATTTATGGATGACCTTTGAACGAATCTTAAGTGACCTTGAGAAATGTTAACCAATCGGTAAACAGTCAGCATAAAATAAAAATATATTACACAAAACCAAAGAATTAAAGTGGATACACTTCTTGTATATGGTCCAAAAACTTGTCAAGGTTAGAAAAAAAGGTTCAAAGGTTCCGAAATCGTAATGCATAAGGTAGAGAAACTCATCCATATGGCTCCATAGTAGTCAGTCTCTGGAGCCACGATAAGGTTACAAAAAACCTTCACAGCCTCGACCACATAGCTTCATTATTGTTTGTGTGTACTCCGGTTGTGTAAGTTTATCATTTTTATTATGGATATGTCCCTACAATACTCATACCACTGAACAGCCGAAGCTTCAGTAACATCTGCGATTATTGCAGCCAATATTACTGGTGCTTTTGTTATACAGTTTGCGGGAATTGTTATAATATACCTTAGTCTCAATCTGAATTGGGCGAAAAAGGTTCCTATTCTAGCAAACGTCTTCCTTCAATATATATTACATCGAAGGACAACATCACGGTAGTCTGCACAAGGTCTACAAGTCATTTAATTGCCGCAATTACAAATTCAGGAACTTCTTAGTAGTTTCATTTGTTGTAGCCGCTTAATTGTTAAGTCTTCTCTAAAATCCTCTGGTAACCGATCGTACATTAGCATCAGGTACTGAAACTGGCGCCGTGAACTTGAAATCCGTCAGACTCTTCTGATTGGCTCGTCCATAAATTAAAGTCTCGCCAATAATTCAATTAGTTTCCATAGTTGGTAAAATATTTAATCGTTTATTAATAACATGTTGTTAATTCATGATAATGAAATCCAGTGAAAGCACAATCTTTGTCCTAGCGGTAAAATAATTATTATTCTGCTGAATTAATTCAATACGCTAAGAACTTCAAAATATAAATGGTATTTATATTCTGACTACTTCTAAGTAGGCAATTATTATAACAAAATAAGTCATGGATTAGGTTTCTTATAATTTTCTTAATTTGAAATCTTATAGTTGATATCATGAGTCACATGAAGTTATACCAACATGGAAAACCTGAAAGCACTGGATGGCTATTTCGTGCTATTGTGGGACTCCTCAGCAGTGCACATCCACGATCACGCCTCGCCAGATTCGAACCAAGGACCTATCATTCTCGCGCGCGAGCGCTATGCCTCTAGGCACGGAGCCGACATTCAACGGTGTTAATGTCTAACTTCAACCAATCCAAGAAATAGAGTAACCATCCACCATTTTCTTCAGTCAGTTACTATCTCAAAACAGACCTGGCTGATCTCCACTGGTCACTGCTTCTCACTAGAACTTCAGGAAATACCTCTTGGAACCAGTCACTTGTGAGGATGTGATTATTATTAGAAAGGAGAGGAGTCTCACAATGAGACAAAACGGCCGTCCAGTGCTTCCAGGTTTTCCAGGGTGGTATAGGTTCAGTTGAATAATGATTTAAACTATAAATTTACTGAAATCTCCACAAAACCCCTTTCTGATAACTTGAAATCGTTTTAAATATATAGCACAATATTCTTACATCAGAAAAGAAATTTGAATTCATAACATGTTCAGTATATTGCGAGAAATTCTTGTTACATTATAGAAAGAATTAATATGAAGACACTGAATTGTGTGCAAAAACAAGATGGTGACCTGTTTTTTTGTCAGTTCGTCAGACATTTACATAAGTAGTTTAGTAAACAATACTCAAGTACAACTTTTAAGGTATGTATCAAACGTTTGATATTTATAAATATTGCGATATTTGTAAATATTTGTAATATCCCAATGAATAGAAAAATTAGATTTTTTGACGTTTCATGACTCACTGTAAGCCAATTCTTCGGAGAATACATAAGCAAATCAAAATTATTCCAAGCTTAAATAGTTCATAGGAACAACGCATAAATATTATGTGCGATCAATCAAAAAACAGGTCTGAACAAGTCAACGGCATGTCACTTCCGTGATGGTGATTTATAAGCGATATATATGTTAATTCGTGTGTATGTGTGCAAGGTCAAGGATGAAAAAATGTGACCTTTTGGGGCGAAAGGATAGAGATTAATTTGTACGCACGATAATATTGTGAAATGTGAATAACATACGATAGATGTATAGTGACGCCTTCTTTTCTGCTGAGAGCGATAGGATTAAGGATTATATAGAAAGCTTCAGCTACTATCCTTTCTTCGTAGTTGAAAAAATCTTTTTGTAATATTTTTATGTTTTTGAAGTCGATTCGGTGGTTGTTGAAAATGGCGTGAACTGCTATTGCCGATTTAATGTGAAGTTTATGCAGTTTTACAAGATTATTAATTATTGCAGTTATGAAGAGAGCAAGTAAATAAGTACGATGATCGAAATCATAAAATCAAAACTGATATTGAACGTCTTTGTGAAAACAAATGGCAGGATAGTTTTTATCATAGATTGAATAGACAAGATTTTCTTGGAACGTTTTAAAATCTGTGTCAAGAATTCTTTATCATCAACAAACAAATAGTCACTGATTAAGGCGATTATTATTATGTGAAGTTCCGAATAATGAACTGACATTGGCTAGATCACCAATTGAACTAAGATGTACTGGACAGCTATTTTGTTCTATAACAGAACTCAATCTGGGCTCAAACTCTGGTCTTCAGGCCTTATGGCGAACACTTAAACCATGATTTCACATTCAGTTGTCCATATTTTAAACTTTAAATTTAACAATTTTCACAACGTAATACTCGAACTTCTAGTGGAAGTCGATAACACTGGCGTTGAACGACCTTCGTTATGAGACATAACAGCAGTGCTATTCGATAACAGATGAACAGTATTACGAATTATTTTCATTATAATATGAAAGTTTGATAAACTCATAAAGCAATGAAAAGTGTTTTATGACAATGTAAAATTAGCACAGTTTTCTTTTGTAGATAATGACTAGTTTCTGTATTTTTGGTTATGAATAATAAGCCCTGTTTCCTTCAATATAATTCTCTTACTTTGATTACTACAAACCTTTCCTTTGAATAATACAGAAACTTCAGGGAAGGAATACTAGGTATGCTGGATATGTTATATTCCCCGCTTATATTAAATCTACTAAACATGTATGGTTGAATGAGATAATGTTGTGATAAACTTTTCTATCTTATTTCATTATTAAACTACATCAATTCGATTATGATAGAAACTATTTTTTTCTGTTTGGTTTGATGTCACTAATCACGATTGTAGTGACATAATATTTAAAAATGATACATATGAAGTCAATTAGAAAGGAACATATTTGACTTAACTGTGAAACTTAATTGTTCATAGCTGTATTCCACATGAAGTCACATTCAAAGCGCTAGCTAGTTTCAGATTGGTATAGTCAATCTGTGTTTATTGTATTCAACCATCTAAAGCTTTACATGGTTGATATTGTTATTTCATGACTGTTCAGTTGATTTCATTTTATTTCAGTAGGATTATTCCAGAATAAAACTCCTCCTGTAGCTATTCTAGAGTAACTGCCGGTCCCAAGCCCATACAAAGGGGGAGGGTTGGGCTTGGGGTTGGCGACCCAAGTAACTCGCTAAAAATGGAGCGTCCGGAAAATGTGGGATACCGGGAAGATCAGTCAAATAGCAATGGGAATGAGGAGATATAAATTGGCAGTAATCGAAATTAGCGAAACCCATTGGACACAAATTGGACAACAAAGGCTAGATACGGGAGAGATGCTGCTGTGGTCCGGTCACGAAGAGGAAAATGCTCCACACACTCAGGGATTTGCTCTAATGCTGTCCAGAAAAGCACCAAATGCACTTGCAGGATGGGAAGCTCCAGAATTATCAAAGCATCATTCAGAACAAAGGAGGAGGGGATCACAATAAATGTTATGCAATGTTTGCACACATCAATGATAGCGACGACAAAGATAAAGATCAGTTGTATGGGATGCTGCAATCAATTATAGCTAAGTGCTTGTAGTGCCGTAAATCTGATTCCGTTTTTGATCGTACGTACTGACTATCCTCGTATGTAATAAATGACTTTATCCGTGTTGGTGAATAACGGAGTTAAATAAGTCAAATACGAGAATGGATTTAGAATACATATATTTTCTACGCTCATTGGTCTGGCCAGGGAATCAGAGTGATGAGGCGAATAGATGAGAGCGGAACAAAAATGACGCGTATTGGAGATGGCTGGGAATCCAACTTGAGAGTGAAGCGAAAATAATGAGTATTGGAGATGGCGGAGATTGCCAACTCATTTTAAGCAAGCGTTAATCAAAATTTATAGTCAGGCAAAAATGAATGGCAGACGTATGATGAATAAGATACGAAGTGTGCATACATATACGCTCATATAAAAATATTACTTACTTACTTACTTACGCCTGTTACCCCTCGTCGAGGAGCATAGGCCGCTCACCAGCATTCTCCATCCAACTCTGTCCTGAGCCTTCCTTTCCAGTTCTTTCCAGTTGCTATTCATCCTTTTCATATCGGCTTCTATTTCCCGGCGTAGTGTGTTCTTTGGCCTTCCTCTTTTCCGCTTCCCTTCCTATTTATAGTTCTATGGTAAATATATGTCTATAGAAGGACAGAAAAGATTGTATCATCAAATGATTCGAGACTCATATTATCAAATGAGGTTACGCAATAATGAAGGAGTAAAAGAAGAATATAAGGATGGAAATAATTTATGCGTCAGAATTATGAAAGACTTATATTTACCGTACAATTATAAATACGGACGTACAGCTTAAGAAAATGATTTCATCGAAAAAAATGTTTCTCTTCGCTGACTCCTCTTTCTTTTTTAATCATACATTGGTTTCCACAACCGTAACATTATGTTTAAACCTATGTAATTGTTATAAATATTCAAGTTCTTACCAAGGCTTTCTCAATCCCTTTAAAGTATGGTATGTAACCTATATACTTTAATATAACTCATCTTTTAGTTGACATATTAATGAGTCTTAACAATTTTCATCAACACTTGAATTTACAATGTTGTTATTAAACTTAGAAACCACTTGATTGACATCGTTTTTTATTATTATCGAATCTTTGAAGTATTATTTCTTTTATAGATGAAATCATGAGTCAATTGAAGCTAAACCACCATGGAAAACCTAAAAGCACTGGACGGCCATTTCGTACTATCGTGGGACTCCTCAGCAGTGCGCATTCACGATACCGCCTCGCGAGATTCGAACCCAGGATCTATCAGTTTCGCGCGCGAGCTCTTAACCTCAGGACGACATTCAACGGTGTTAATTTCTAACTTCAACCAATCCACGATTTGGAGCAACCGTTCACCTATTGTCATTAGTGAGTTGATATCTCTACAAAAAACTTGGTTGAACTCCACTGGTTACTGCTTCTCACTAGAACTCCAGGAAATATCTCTTGAAGTTAGTCACTAGTGAGGATATGATTATTATCAGAAGGGGGAGGAGTCACACAATAAGACGAAATGGCCATCCAGTGCTTCCAGGTTTTCCATGGAGGTATAGCTTCAATTGACTCATGATTTCCACTATAAAAATCACTGAAGTCTCCACAAAAGCCCCTTCTAATACTATTTCTCTGTCAACAATTATTTTCTTTTTTTACATGTCCACTTTTATTTGAATATTCGTATCCCAAATATTTGTGACCGATATTTACAACTGGAATAGTTTATTTTAAAATTAAAAATCTAAGGGTCAGCTATTACAATAACTTTTAGTTAAGTACTGTGCATTGAAACATAGAGTCATTCCCTTTAGCAATTCTAAGACAATTCCAATTAGTTTTATCAATTTTGTGAAACATTATTTTATTTACTGTTAATGTTCACATGAATAAGCAAGAAATTAAATTGAAATTATTTGAAGGTATCCAACCAGGAGGTTACGAGCAAAAAAAAGAATATCAGAAACGTGAATGAAAAAGGATGCGGTTATAGAGGGTGCATATCAGTGACATTGAGTATCAAAAAGATGATCATCAAAAGGTTGCATATCAATAAAAGTGAGGGCTCAAAAGTGAAACAACATATTAAATGTGGAGAAATCTGTTCTTTTCGCTTTTTAATCCTCGGTACTACGAATAAGCAAAATGTAGTTGTCTAAACGTCCAATGAAAAGCCCATCTTTAACAAATACTGTAATTCTTTAAATCTGGCAACAAATTGTTATTTTTATTACCTAATTCAGATTTTCTCGTATGTCTATTCAGAACAGTTAGGAGATATTTTGTCTTGAGGAATGTTTCGAAAATATTTCGGAAATGTTTGAAGAATTTCGTTATAAAGAAGTTTTAAATTCGAAAAACATGTCATCCTTTAAAAATCAATACGTCATACTCGGTATGTTTTCCCGAAAATACTTCTTGTGTGCTATCCAGAGAACCTGAATGAACGTTTATTCTGTGGATTGTAAACGTCCATGATAATAAAAGCCAAATAACTAGGTTTTATTTCATGTTAATTTGATAAGCAGGTGTACCTCATGCAATTATAACTATTATCATAAGACTAACAGTTAAATACATAAGTCAGATAATCATTTATTTCAGTTAAATATCATACTCAAATTTATGTTTACTTACTTACTTACTTACGCCTGTTACCCCTCGTCGAGGAGCATAGGCCGCTCACCAGCATTCTCCATCCAACTCTGTCCTGAGCCTTCCTTTCCAGTTCTTTCCAGTTGCTATTCATCCTTTTCATATCGGCTTCTATTT